AATAATTCTGGAGACCTCTGGTCCTGTATTACTTTTGAAATTGGCCATTAGGCTTAAGAGTTCTTAGAGACTTAGAGGTGTCACAAATAACAGAATAGCATAATTTTTTCTTAGAAATTTTCTTTTTGGTGGGGGGGAATATGCAGTGTTCTTCATGTAAATTAATTCTTTCTCCAGAATATTGATCACTTTGAGTTTTAATACGTACTGGACAGATTTTTTTTTTCCCAAATTTTTGTGATGCTTCAGGCCAATCTGTGAGTTCTTCTTTGCATGGGCTGTCACAGAGAAGTGCAGTTAGGACTTCTGCCTAGTACACTGCAGCCGTCCAGGTGCTCTCCTGTTGCCTTAGGAGAACAAGCAAAAGCCCGTGACCATCCCGTGAGCTCTGCTGCTTTACGGGCAGTGTATGGAGGCTGTACATGCTGCCTCTTACAGGGGCTAGGCGGAGGACTCTTGCAATGCTGGGTGGTTCTGTGCTTCTTTCTCTTGCTTGTGGATATTGCATTACTTCAAGAAGTTAGGTGGCATCTCTCTGAAAGCATGAGAAAAATCCTGTCTAGCCAGATCTCTGCTGCCCCAAGCTTCCTTTCCCCATGTAAGGAATGGGCAGACAGGCTTGAGGGAGTGGGAATGAGGGCTTAAGTGCAGTCTCTTTCAGAGCTGACTTGTCAGTAGAGCTGTAGTCAGCAGCATGGAATTTGACAGTGAAACTTTTTACTGTCTTTAGGATGACTACCCCTAATTTAGGCATCTGTAGACATGTTCATGGCTTCTTTAGTTTGACGTTTTCTCATTGTAACTCATTGTTCTTATTCTCCTGTGCATTAATAGGTCCATTCTAAAGACTGTCTAGTATGCCTGGAAAAGATGATCTGTGCCATCTGGTTCCTTGTCTAGGGCCACAGGTGGAAAGATATCTCTGATCCAGGTCATAAATAATTCCCACCCATAAGGAAAAAGGAAAATTGCATGTTGTAAATTATAAAATAAGGTTTGACTTGGATTTAATTTTATTTAAGTACTCCATATTCAGTAGCACCTGAGGAAATATAGCCAATGAGATTCTGAAAGCCTTCAGGCTGGTGATCGTAAGAAGAAAAATAAATTCCCAAGAGCGGTAGTATTGCAAAAAGCAATGTTAATGCTACTGAATGCAATGTTAATGCTACTGTTAGGCGACTGTAGCAGCAACAGATTAGATCTCCACTTATTTATATCAACTGCTCTAATCTCCTTGGGGAGACGGAAAATCAGAAGTTCCAGTGGAATGAGTGAGAAGGTTAGTCCGCAGCAGCGCTGCCAGATCGCTGCCGAGCGCTCGCGCTAAGCGTTCCGCGTGCGCTTGAGGCTCGGGCGGAATCTGGGCTTTCTCCAGCAGCAGGCTCTAGCCACGCCTGACAGTTTTCTTCCTTGTAAGGCAAACTTCTGAATCAGCAGCTTGGAGTCATCTGGAAGCCTTTTCCTGTCATTGTTGCTAACAGCTACATGTGGAGGCTGATTCCCCCTTCTAAAACAAATATATATATATTACACATATGCATATATACACACACACACACATAAATTATTGGAAGGTGCTTTTCTGTCTAATTTCATGTTCATGCGGGTATTCTGAATGTTGATTTTTGAGGTCCTGGTCAGATACAGCAGCAAAAAATGCAGACAGTGAAACAGATGTTTTTAATATTGGTCTCTCCTCCCAGACTTGTGAGCATCTGAACTCTTCCCTCAGCATCTGGTGTGATTCAGAGCTCGCCGTGGCCCTGGTGTGCGGGGCTGTGTTCTCCTCGGGCTGTGCCCTTCGGCGGGAGCGTGCGTGCTGCCTTAGCCCTCTAAGTGCCTTTGAGTAGCCTCATGTCCTTGTCTTGCAATTGTCCCCATGATTGTCTAGCCTTTTAAGTGGGTTGCTAGAAGGTGTTTTGCTACGGGTTGTTTTTTGCACATCCAAAGATCAAAAATCCGTGACCACAATTGAAGTCAAGACTAAGTGTATGCAACATGACAACTTTTCATCTATCCCTTCTTCCTTTTCTTCCCTTTTTGTTCCCTCTCCTTAAGTTTACTCTGCTCGCTCTGGATTTCAGCCTTGATAGCCAAGGCTTGGTGCACTTCATAGCAACTGTTCATTTTAATCTTTCAGAAGTGTGGACTTACTGTTGCATTTTCTTCACCCTTATCCTCTAGCTTTCAATTACTTCAGAAGGCTATTGATTTATTGTCATATTAATCATGAACACATTAAAAAAAAAAAAAAAAGGCAAAACCTTTTCTCACAAGATGATCATGGAAATGTCAACTGTGTAAATGTCCTGGTAAAGTCAGCCCAGCTGTGCTCTTCATTAGCCTTGGTTCCCATCATCTTGTACACACAGTGCTATTTGGGATTTTGTTTACTTTTCAAATGTCAAGGCAGGCAAGAGTTGCTGGCTGCAGCAGCTTGGTTGTCGGCTCTTGAAGCTTCAATTGATACATTTTTCTCTAAGTAGTCGCATTCCTGAATTTGTGCTTCTGGCTTGCTGTCTCTTGGTTTCCAGCCAAAAACCTACACTCTACTTGTTCAGACCCCATCAACTGATCTTGCAGGACAGGACAAAAGGACGCAACTGGGAATTTAATTCTACATTGTGAGAACAGCAGGAGGGCATTTAGTCCCGCAGTAGCCAAACAGGTAAGGGGAGTGGAAAACTGGCTGCTATAGTGACTGCAGGAGGTTGGCAGAGATCCCCCATAGCTGGATATTCTGTGGAATGTGGCATATTGGTAATAATCACTGGTGGAGCTAATTATCAAAACCTAAATTGGAGTTTACATAAGCTCAGGACTAGTAGCCTGGGAAGATCCTTGTTCAGAAGATCAGACTTGCAGGTAACTTCCTCAGTTGCTGCTTTTGGCATTTTTCGTGGCAGTCTCGTTTGTCCTGACCACCTCTTCAGAGCAGCGCGGTTCAGGTTGCTCAGGAATTGTCCAGTTAATTTTGGATTTTCAAGGGTAAGGGTGCATTGGCGTCTCCAGGTACCCGCTGCGGTGCTGATATTCATCACAAGCACTTCGTTCCTTCACACACAGCTGGAATTTCCCTGCTTCAGATTTGTGACCATCTCTTGTTGACCACAGCTCCAGGGAGAGGGTCTGCTTCAGACCTCTCAGTATTCCTTTAGGCACTGGAAGGCTACAAATAGGATCCTCCCTGCCCCTTCGCTTTCTCTTCCCCAGGTTAATTGAAGCTGATTCCCTTAACCTTTTCTCACAGTTCATGTCCTTCAGCAATAGCGGTCCTATGGCCAAATTATCAGCGTTTTCCTTTTGTTGGAGCGCTCCAACAAGAAGTGGTCTAACAAAACACATTAGAGCTGCTTTCTTGCTGATTGCTGGCAGATTGTCTGTATGAGCCCTAACCGTGTAGATTTGGCACAGACATTCACCCTGCTGTGGGCTGGCATGTAGAGAAGTCATGTGAAAGGAAAGACCATATTCCTGGTACCAACAGGTCACTGTGAGTGATGCTGAGCTGATGTGTGCAACTTTTTAAAGGAAACAGTGTTTGATCAGTGCTTCCTACCTGTCACTAAGTGTGAGCGGAGTTGAATTCATAAATGCTTACCTGTGTCCTACGTCCTTAAAATGAGATCTACCCAGGGAAAAGAATAGGCAAATTGTGTTAGCAAGGGACTTGGGAAGAGATTTTGGGGGCTGGTTATTGCATTTTTGTGGCTGGAAACATGCAAACCATGTGAAAATGTAATTGGCATTGTGAACAGACTGTATACAATTTATGGCAGCTTTCTCTGTGTTAGTATATAGTTTGTTTGTTTCTGAGTCCTGTATTATTTCAAGACTTGTTTATTCGCTGCTCGATTTTACTTTGCCTGATGAGTTAAATTATCTCTGGAGAATGAAAGACGAATTCATAAAATCCGAGCCAGACAAAACAATTTATCTCTTTTCAAAGGTTAAAAAAGGGACAGACTTCATTTATTTTTTTCCCTCCCGTCTCTCTGCTCTAATAAGAAAAAAAAATTACTGACTATATTGCTTAGTCAAAAGCAGTAAGTCAGCTGAGGACTGTAGATTTAAATGAGTACAACTGGAATTTGAATCTGCCCGTGGTTCCACTGCATGTCATTACATCCCTAATTCGAGTGAGAAAGAAATGACATGGAGTGCAATTTGTTGGAAAGCAGAGAGGTGCAGACGAGGCACGTTTTGTGTCCTCTTGTGACTGTGCAGTGGGATCTCTATCTCATGAAGCATCACCTGTCATTCCAGTGTGTCTGCAAGTGGGGTTGCTGCAAACTGTGTATTGCCTAAACTGCTGTACTGCAGGGAGCTGCTTTACCCTTCACAGGCTGTTGGAAGAGGGCAGCTCTCCGTCTCTTCAAAGTAGCCACAAGCAGGAAGAAAATGAGCAGTGTGCTAAACTGCTGCTTGGAACAGTTGTGGTGGGTTTGCTGGCACAGCATGTTCAGCTTTGGTTTTGCTCATGATTATCCTTTGAGTGACGGACTTCTAATGGTCTTCAGTGGCCTGTTATGAGCTGCAGGTGATACATATACTTGTAAGGGGTGTGTTAGTTCCCTCATTAGTTATATGTGTTAAAAAGTTGTCTTTGGTAGTGCATGAGGAGAAAAAAAGGCCAAGGGACTTTGACATTCAAAGAAGACCAGAGCTCCTGGTGGCTACATCTGCGAATCTGATGTGGACTCGTGCATTAAAGCCAGCTATAACCTGTAGCTTCATTTGGCAAACAAAACATATACTACAGGCAGAAGATGTTAGCTATGGGAAGCTTACTTTTGAACTCTGGTTGCCTTACATGCATGCAACATCTTTTTCCAGTACCCTTGTCCTCATTTAAGGATAAGTTGATTAGTGAGGTACACAGAAATAATTGAATTATCTTGTTTTTCTTTTTTGTTTGGCAGTATTAGATCAACAATAAAACAACATAATTAAGGTAATACTTTGTGGTAACCTGGTTTTATTTTTATTTCTAACAGTACATCCTTTCAGGCTCTGATGACTTCAATTTGTATATGTGGAGAATTCCTCCAGATCCAGAAGCAGGTAAGTTTGTTTTGTTTTTGATTTGGTGGTGGCTGTTCAATTTGGAGTCTGAAAAATACTGCTTTGTAGCTTTTAAGTAGATTGCTGTGCTCATTCAGTGTTCTGATGAGAGCTGCTGGGAAGAGTTCACAAATACCTCATCCTGTCTCTGGGCAGCAGTGAGGAATGCCTTTTAAACCTTTCATTGTGGTGGGGTTTTCTCCTCACGTAGCAGTCATGTAAAGCTTCTAGATGAGCTGATAGGGAGTCGTGGCTGGAGGTCGGCCTTGTCTTCCCTCCCTACTGTCTGTGAGCTCTGCTGCTTCTCAGCTGGTCTGAGCTCACTGATGAATTTGGGATCTTCTGCCAAGAAATTTATTTCTGTGATGGAGGTTTGCAGCATAAAACATTGCTGGATTCCCATGTTGTTCCTCGCTACCTCAGCTTTTAAAAAACTGAAGTGTTTTTTTTTTTTTTAAGTTAAAAAAAAATATATATTTACATGGTGATGTAGTTAGGGTAGGTAGGTCTGTGACTTAGTTCTGCTCAAAATGCACCTTTGCAGTAGGGTTTGAAGTTAAAAACAGTTACTGTTTTGATTAGCAATGATTCTTGTAGATTAAACTGTACGTTTTAGTGGTATTAGATACAAATGAGTGATCTTCCTCAGGCTCTCTAGCAGTACCTAGAGCAAATTGCAAGCTGCATTAAAGGTAAAGTGAAAAGTTCTTGTTTTATTTTGAAAAACTTAAATCACAGTGTACTCTTAAAGCTCAGCTCAGAGCATGAGTCATCCATAAAAGATTTGGTTAGCTGAAGAGTTTTGGGGAAAGTGTCTTTCTAATTTTGGGTTTATTATTTAATGAACATTTGACATTGCACTTCAGAGGTCTCAGTGTGTCAGCATCTTGGCCTTCTGGGTTTTATTGTTTGCTTTGGGCTCTACCCCCACCTTTTATTTTAATTTGTATGATTCCATTTGTCACCTAGCAGTGTTTTACTACTTAGGAGTTTTCCTTCTATTTAAAACAACGACTGAAAACATTTGAAGTAATTATGTACCTCTTAAGGTTTTATATGAGGACTGTGGATTTACATTTTATACGTTACTATACGTCTCTTGACTCTATTCCGTATACTGTGGACTTGAGGTTTGGTATTTGTGCAGTCATGATGCCCTTGAGACCTAAGGGCTGCCATCAATGTGTTCAGTTGTGTCTTTATTCAAGGCAGCTGCAGATGCCTAATGTTTATCTGGGACCTTGGCACAAAGAGAATTACCATAAAACAGTTGCTGTTTTTTGGTCAGCTTTCTTTTGTTTCTGTCTCTTGTAACTTGAGGAAGTGTGTCAGTAAATTGCAACATTTCTGTTACAAAATTAATTACTTAATGTCAATTGCCATCATTAGTTGCCTAATGGGATCAGAGGATCCTGAAGTGGGAACAGGTTGTCTTTTGTAACTTGAGCAGTTCTCTTGCTGCAAGATCTTAGCAAAACCCATGAGCTTTTGTCCTGCTACATGTCGCTTTTGGCTTCAATGTCAAAAAACTCATCTGCCATCCAGATCACCTGTGATAGCTTTACTGAAACTGCTCTTCCTTCGGCCCTTCTTTCCCCTAGAAGGGCTGGGCTTGTTTTGAAAGTGATGAAACATCCTGTGTTAAATCTGATCCTGTGGTTCAGAACAATTGTTTGGCTAGACAGATGGCCATGCTTAATTTGTGGCAAACGACTCTTGCTGTAGGGATACAGCAACCTTTGGAACCTCTTGCTTTTATGGAAAACTCCTTATTTTCATGTTCTCACTAAAAATAGGAGTGTCTTTGGGCCTGTGATCTGGAGGGGTGGAATGTGGCCTTTCATTTAAATATTGTACAATCTAAAGTTAGACGGGATGATGTAATGTCCTGTCCTGTTGGTATTTTAAATAAAAATATGACTCTAGCTGATTTCTATCTTTCTGTTTGAATTGAAACATTCTGTTGCTATAAATATTTATGGTACAACTCCCGTAAATTTTATTAGCTATTTGTAAATAGCATTTTTTTCCAAGCATGAAGCTCTTGTACAGAACTGCATCCTTAAGGACAGTTCTGAACAGTCAGAGCCAGTTCAGCCAGTTATCTCTTCAAAGCACATATTCCACTTTTGTTCAGAGACAGAGTTTCTAGTAAAACTAATGCATTGATTTGGTGCATGGAAAGCAACCCTGAGTCTCCACAGCTTTCATTATAGTCTGAGACCAGCCAGAAGTGAGAAGAGAAATAAGCTCTGTGCGACCTGCCCAGTTGGATTGTTAAATACTGGCTCGAGTGTTTATGTTGTTTAACCTAACTCCTATAAACGTGGTTTCTTAGCTAATAATCCCAATTCAGGACAGAACCTGACATGTCTTGTGGAGTAATAGAGGGCTTAACAGACTGTATGTTTTGCAGAAAGGAGTTTGCGTTCCTCACCCACAGCTCTGAATCATCTTTGCAACTTGCAGCTTTCCTCTTTTTCTTTAAGTATTGCTCAAAGATGCCATGTGAGGGGCATGATAATTTTTTTGTGACTAAGTAGACTTGTTGGGGCTCTTCCAGTTTAGTTGAGCAGTTGAAACTTTTGGAAACTTGAGTAAATCAAAACAGCAAATTGTATTTCAGAACCTCTTTTTAATTCTGTCTTTGACTGAAACTGCTGGCCAGAAAGGGTTTGTCATTGTGGTCCAGTTTCTACACTAATTGCATCAGTTTTAAGCAGAACTTCTGTAACTTTTCTCTCTTCCTCCCCCCCTCCCTTTTTTTTTGGCCATTTTAAATGAAGACATCTCTTGTGACTGAAGAATGAAGCAGCAAATCTTTCCACAAAATTTGAACAGGGTTATCTCTTGAATCAAGACAGCTGAGGCTTAAGCTCTCAAAGTTGCAGTGGCTGGTGAAGCTGAATGATAGATGATCAGGTGCTTCTTCATGTCTTCAGTTGTTTTTATATATATACATTTTATGTGTATGTATGTGTGTGTATATAATTTTATATATAAAATAAAAATACATGTATTAGTGTAGAAATAAAAATACCTTTGGAAGGGAAAATGATCTTTCCTAGTGAAGACCATATTCTGAAGGGTTTGTATTTTTAAAAACTTGGTTTTCCTGAGAAGTGGTGGTGGGATTTAAGCAGCTTTATTTTCAGGATGGTTGTTTGCCTCTTTCTTTGAGTCAGTGTTGACCACAGTGTGCTGTGGGGCAGTTGTTGAAGGGCCGTGAGAAGTAAGTGGTGGGACAGGGTAGAAGGGCGTCTTGTATCCAGTGGAATTTTTGCCTCGTTTGTGTCCTGTGAGCTTTAATAGCAGAAATGTGTGGAGTGCTGTGGAAATCACCTGGTCAGAGGGCACCTACCAAAAGGGGACCATGGTGTGCACTTGGTATTACAGGAGCTAAGAGGAAGATTGAGCACCCAAGGCTGTTTTTTCTCATCAGGCTTAGCATCTTTAATATCTTCTAATAGGCCTGGAAAGCTAAAGATAGCACTGGGAAAAGCTGGAGAAACTTTAGTCCCTTCAGCTACCCTTCCGACTGCACCAAATTTCCTTTCCTTTTACCTTCTCAAACATGTTGGCACCTGACAGTACAATCTTATATTATGCCCATGGCTATAAATGCACAGATAAGTGGGCTCCACATTTTATTTCAGAAGAACACCCTCTGATTGTGTGATCTTCCCATGTTTTTATTCCTTTAACATTCAAGAAGAATATTTGCAATTGGTAATTTGCATGGTACCAGTAGCATTGCATATACCATTGAGAAATATACAATTAAAATACTCAAAAAGTTGCTTGTCTTGGACCAGAAGAGAAGACAGAGGGGAAAGGGTGTGACACAGTTTTATTTCCATAGTAACTTTGCCCTTGGTTTTCTGCAGTTGTTTAGCACCACCAGCGGCGATAACAGTGGGAGGGTTAGTATAGATAAGGCATGGATAGATAATGCAGGTATTTAGCAGCAGCAGAAGAGAGAACATAAATACAAAATGCAAAAATGGACACTGACCATCATCCAGGCAAAGCAGATTTTCAGGATATGTTTACTTGAGTGTAAGTGAATTTTTGTATCTTTTGCTCTCTTCCTACGTGTTTACAGTCGATCAGAAGTGTGCATTCATTTGGTTAACCGAAGCTGAGCGTGGTTAACTTCCTCAGATCTGCTCTTTTAGCCCCGTGAGACCTCTGTGTGTAGTCTAGTCCTACAGCAGCTTCCATGTGTTTCTGAGAAGTGGTAGGCCAGGAATCAGATCCATTGGTGCTGAATAAGCTTCCTTGTAGCGTAACTCCTTCCAGAGGTCGCCTTTCCCTGGAGGCTGGGAAGTGATTCACATTCAGTGTTACCTTAGCAGAGGCTTAAAAAGTGTGGAAACACTATGATTACCTTAACGAGGAATGCTAAGCCAGCTTGCTTATGACAGAGCTTGCTTAAAATGTCCCAGAAGGTAGAAGCAAACATTTCTTGTCAGCCAGTCACTCAGTGCAGCTACTCTTCAGTTGTCTTAATCTGCTATCTTTTGACAAGCCCAAAGATAACTGCGTGCTGCTTACGTGCTCAATCATGGAGGTCTTGACCATGTTTGGCAGGTTGATTTTTATTCTTTACAATGCTGGATATGTACAGCACAGTGTTTCTGAATAGACATGTAGACATGGAAATATGTGATGTACTTTTGTGGCCAAGGTGAAGAAAAAAATGAGTATGTGGGTATGAGTACTAGGAACAGAGACCTTTAAGGAGCATGAGCATCATCTGCTGCCCTGAAGGCAGAGGCCTTATAGTCTACATACTTCTGTTTGCTGACCTGGTGGAGTGACCTGGTTTGCTGAGCTGGTGGAATAAAAGAAAGCAAGGCAACACGGAAGTTCTTCACAACTCTTGCTAGCATTTTGCTCTCCATTTCGTTTCCAAAGCACAGCGTCCCTCTTCCGAGTGCCTTGTGACGTCCTAAGCTTCAAAGGGAGGGCTAAAGTCTGTGGCCTAAATGTGGCTTGGATTATTATTCACAAAAATTTAATTTTAAATGAGCTTTTACTGTAATGCCAAATAGTGTAGTTAAATGGTGTGCTATGGCACACTGGCAGCAGCTGTGAACATCTGGTTCTTCTCAGGAGTTTTCAGCACTTTGAGTAATTCACAAGGCTTGTATGAAGTTATGCATCAGCCTGTGGAATGTCTTTCTACCTTATATGAGCAACCAGTGGGACTTCTTTTTCAGAGTCCTAGATAGAAAAGACTTTTTTTTTAATGAGATCATTTAATTCCTTTGTTATAGAGCCAGTGAAGGATTGTTCCTTACCCCAGTAAGTTCACTAGTGCTTTGACGAATTTTAACTGTTTGGAGCACTGCAGCTTCTGTTACTTTAGAGACCATCCCAGATTCTTAGAGATTTTGTGCATGAGAGTAATCTTCCTAATAATCTATCACTTGCCCCAGATAATTCATTTTTGTTAAAAACATGGTTGCTTCATATTGTGGGTGAGTATTACATATTCTGCATGGGTTGTCAGATGGCTTTGGGTCCAAGTATCTCACTCCCCTTCATTATGTTTTAATAGCCTTTCCTAATGTTTTGGTGTGTGCCTTCAAGCATGTTCTCAGTATATAAAATATCAGTCCATCTGCAGAAATATTTGCAAACCTGCATAATTAATGTGGATTTTATTAGCATAATATTTGAAACAAAATAATAAAGCAAGCCAAAGTATATTCGATTTGGCCGTTCCCTAGACATGTACTACTTCAAAGCATTGTAATATCATTTCCCTCCGTGCGTGTCAGAGCCTGTAGATGTAGCCTGTGTTGCCATGGTGTTCTTGTCAGACGTTGTGTACGTGTAGAGGAAATGGCTTTCAAAATGTTACAGTTAGGATTTAGTCTTTGGTAAGGCTTTAATTCCAGCTGGTCAAATATTGTAGTGGGGTATTATTTTGAGATTTTTTTTTAAAGTCTGTATTACTCTTCTTTGAAGCACTTAGTTGTAAAGTGTTGAAAAAGAGAGATTTTCCTGACGTTTCACTTTGTGTATCAAGTGCAAATGGACAAAGAAAGCATCGACCAGGACAGCTAGCACATTAAATTGTTACTCAGCATTGACTTTAAGTGTAGTAATTTTTGGAAAGCATTGCAAAACCAGCTAGTGTATTTCCCTTACTTCGCCTACTCTTCAGAGGTTAGAAATCTTTCAAAATCTTCCTAATTGTCTGCTTAGGATTGTTTGTTTGTTTTGGTTTCCATTTTTCATTCTAACCTATATGTAAACTAAACCCCTGGCTTCTGCATATATGGTAGCTATCCAAGAGTCTAAGACCTGTCATCCTAACCCAGTCGCAGGAGTAGTAATGCCAGTGGTCTAAACAGCAAACAAATAACCTGCCTGCCCAACTCGCACCAACCAAAAGTAAAATAGTTTTGTCAGGATTTTGTTGGGATTGCAGCTCAAGTGGAGACAGCAAAAATAAATAGAAATTACTGCATATAAAATGGAAGGTGGTATCAGGAATTCAAGCAACTGATGGCCAGCCTCAGTTTAATATAGTTGCACTTTTTATGTATTTAATTTTGCCAGCAGAAATGAGTAAGCTCAACTCATAGTGTAAGATAGCTAGAAGCTGCATGGCTGCAGTTGAACTGCTGCTGAGCCTGGACTGCCACGTAGATACTCACATAACACGAGATATCAACTTTCCCAGGCTGCTGTAACGTGAAGGATGGTAGTGGAAGGGTAAGGGCATAGAAGAAAACTCTATATTAATCACAGACTCAAAGGCATCACTTGGCTCATAGAACTTGACAGGGAGCAGTCCAAAAATGAGCTTCTGAGGTAGTCTCTTATGTTTGCCATAGAGATTAACAGGATAGTGCTGGAGTTGTTAATCTTGATTTTGAAACTGTGTGTACTTCTAGAAAAAGATGGCTGCTGAGCTTGGTGACTGCATGGATCTCCTCCTAAGGGATGGCTTATGCAGCTGGTCAGTAGGCTGTTGCAGACCTTCGCGCTAAAAGGACTAAGCGAGGCTCAGCTACACGGGTTTCTCTGCTTTTATGGTTAGCAGCTTAAAAGAAGCTTCAATGTAGAAATTTTAGTATTAAAGTAGAAATCTGTGGAGTTCCTGTAAACTATCTGAATTTGAATGTGGCCTTAGTAGAGTTGCTCTGTAGAGTTGTTGTTTTGTGTGTTTGTTGCTGTTTTTCGGTTTGTTTCTGAATCCAGTGTTCTTAGCA